CCCCCCCATTGTTTACGTTCAAGTGGGGTTCAGTTTGTTTCCGCATTGCTTTGCTTTAAACGACTGAAGAAGTTGGTCGGTAGCAACTCACTCTGAGTAGCTGTCAGATTGTTGCATTTTCTGCACAATGCTTGTTCTCCCGGTTGGTGCAGTAGGTCCCGCTGTTCTGCCTGACTGTTCGTCCACGCTGACCGTTTATGTCTAAATGGGGCTGCTGATTATTTTATTTTTTACATACAATTTGCTGATTTTGCGAAGAGTGTGGCTTTTAGACGACCAGAAAGTTTGCGATGCACAAAGGTATTAGTCAAGGATAGGAAATTGACAATAAAGTGATGCCGAAGAAGGCAGGATTCCGATATTTGCTGAATCGCAATGTCAGAGTTGGGAATTTGCACGTTTCATAAAGTTTCAGTCAATGCTTTTGGGATACCTATGACTCAAAACATTGTACTGTCGACGTTTTGCTTAGACGTCTGTTTTCCCTCATGAGTGAACTTGAAACGCTCAGAAATATCGATGTTTTCCAGACTATAAGTTTTTCTTATTTCATTTTTTAACCGAGAAGTAATGTTCTGCCGCTGACAGCTAGGTCGCAGGAAGTAGAAGTAAGCGCGCCTCGACCCTTTAGCCTTCTTTAACGACGTTCTTGACAGGCTCACCGGCTATCTTGTGACTTTATCACGAGCACGCTGAGAGACTTCGCTTCAGACGTCTCGTTTTTTTTCATCATAAGTATTTTTAGCTCGGTAAAACTATGGTGAATTGTAGCCCCTCTGTGGTTTTGAGAACAGGCATGGAAGCAGTTGTTTTGTGCCCTCAAATCACATGGACCTCGAGCCTCTTTTTTAGACCTTGCGTGTTAGACAGCCCATGGCCTTTATCAGTTAGCCATCTGGCATGACCTGGAGTTGTCACTGTCGTAGGCACGGCATTCGTCGATCAGCATCGAGACCAGGAGTATTTTAAAGTCATTATTTTAAGTTACGATTTGACATGACAACCTGACACGATAGTTCGGCTGTCGTCTTCGACGATATCTTCTACGGGCTTAAACGAGTTGAAGTACGCGGTGGCTGTAGCCAAATAATAGCGAAGGCAAACTGGCCGGATCTACCCCACTTTCTGACCTCTCCCACACCTAATTCCGGTTGTCAAGACAAAGTCAAGTAGGCTGGAAAGAAACAGTGCAGGG